ATTTTTATAGCATTAGGAAAGACACTTTCCCCAAAAAATTCAAGCAACAGGAAAATCAGGTTGAGGTCACTTTGGGATGCTAATGGACTCCGTTGCTGAGCATTTTTGGAGCATTCACAATAGACAGTACTTATAATAATTCCTCTTATATCATCTGGAGGTCCGTATCAAACAAGCTCTAAAGACAACAAATGGACAATTCTTAGGAATTACTGTGCTTTGTAGTATTTTCAAGTACTTTGTTATTTTTGTTTCATGGAAATCATCCTGTGGTGAGTCTCATGGAGGATGTATAATTCCTCAGGAAATATCTCTTTAACCCCAAAAGGATGAGAAAGTTCAGTACTTTGTGTTGAAAAAGTGAAACACAAAAGTGTGCCGTGAAGTTTATAAATTAGCAGCCAAAAGATCCTTTGCTATGATGAACACAAACACAGTAACATGTACACGTAGATAAAAAGAAACAGCCACAGTGGAAGTGGAATAAGCGTTTTGATTATTTGAATATGTTACAGTTCCTCATAGATGTAGTAAATACTGAATTCATTTTGGTTTTTATTACATGTGAGGAATTCATAACATGTTTTTTTTCTTTTTATATTATAGCTCTTACTCACTCTTTTCCTTTGCCATTTTTCCCCCCGCGCTGTACCAAACAAACCAAGTACAGTAATGCTTTGTTGACAAGTACCCAAAGATCAGAATGAAAGGATTGGCTAAGAAACTGTTATAATCAAAGGAAAGAAAATGATGGTAAAGTGTTTTTAACTGCCCCACCATTTTGTGTATTTTTGGTTAAGCATATTTTATACACTGTTGTTAGTAATTGATGTTGGGGCTTTTGACTTTATAGCCATCAAGAGAATGAAGGAATGTTCCCATTTATCTTGGTAACAGAACCATAAATTCCAAAAACACTTGGACATGTACTTTGAGCTTGTGTATAGCCTGTGCCAAAATAAAACTCCTGTTTGGTAAGTTGGTCTGTTCAGATACCCGAGTGTGTAGGCAAGTAACTGCCACTGCAGATGGTATCATACTACTAATGCAAAAGGTCTTTCTCATTGGTATACATACTTTACACAATAATGGCACTGATACTGAGTCGTGCAAGCAGTTGTATGGTAATTTATGTTAATTTAGACTTGAACTGTAAAGATAAATGGAGTAGAAGTTTTGTTTCTGATATAGACTAACCATATTTAATATATAGAATAACAGAATTATAAATATCTTTAGTTTTTGGAATAGATGAACTAAATTGAGTCCTAGAAAGGTCAGGGCTTTTTGAATCATTTGCAGTTGAGGACACATTTTTGTCAAATTTAACAGTACAGCTAGAAACTGGCTCTCCCCATGCCAATTAAAACATTATTAATAGTATGGCCCTCTTGTAAACTATACTTGCTTTATGTGATTATCTATTATATGAGGTGCCTGGCGGTAGATTGTCAGGCGCCAATATTACAAATTTTATTATTTTGTGACACAACTTTTCTGTCTTTGTTTGTGGCATCTGAAATGTCATAAACCATAAGAGTATGATAAGGATGAGCATACATGTGATATCTCAAAAACTATATGGGTTACCTCTGGGGTGACTACAATTTACCTTTTTGATGTGGTTGTTATTTCATATATACCAGAAGATTTTGACTTGGTCATTCTTGATATTTTAGTTTTACTAGTTGATAATTCAATGTGTGTGAAATTGTTTATGAAGGTTCACAGAATTGAAGTATCAAGAATGTTATATTGCAGAGGTATCAATGAATTACATTTTGTGCCAGCACCTGTAAGTGGGTAATCATTAATCAAAGAGGATGTTTTTTTCCACCTAGATGTGCAGGTGTTTCAGAGTATGTAAATTATGAATATCGAATGGCTGTCTTCATCTTTTGTTGTGAAGTATTTGGAAATGTATTTATACATTCTCTCTCTCTCTCTCTCTCTCTCTCTCTCTCTCTCTCTCTCTCTCTCTCTCTCTCTCTCTCTCTCTCTCCCCCTTTCCCCCTTTCCCCCTCTCCCTCCCTCCCTCGCTCTCCTTTCCTTCCCCTTCCCCCTCTCCCTCCCTCCCTCGCTCTCCTTTCCTTCCCCTTCCCCCCTCCCCCTCCCCCTCCCCCTCCTTCCCTCTCTCACTCAATACTCTTTCACACACATGCACACGCATGCGCCCCCCCTACACACACACACACACACATCCCCCCCCCCTCTCTCTCTCTCTCTCTCTCTCTCTCTCTCTCTCTCTCTCTCTCTCTCTCTCTCTCTCTCTCTCTCTCTCTCTCTCTCTCTCTCTCTCTCTCTTTTTTCTTCTCCCTCTGCACCAGTTTTTAGATAAGTTGTGTGTGTATATATATATATTTCATATTCGTAATATATATGCACCCAATTTTTTCAGCATTTGTGAACAGAATTTACTATTTTATATATACATACATACATACATACATACATACATATGTATATGTATATATATACATATACATATACATATACATATACATATACACATACATACACATACATACATACATATGTATATGTATATATATACATATACACATACACATACACATACACATACACATACATACATACATACATACATACATACATACATGCATACATATACACAATAATGATAATGATGATGATAACAATAATAATAGTAATAGTAGTAATAATGATAATGATAATGATAATGATAATAATAATAATTGTGTCATAATAAAGAACGGATGAAAGTTTACTGTAACATTACTGTTAAAGTTCTCTGTTGGTTTGTCTTTCAGAGCTGCCCTTGGTTTATTTGCATGAGTGTTACAGCTTTATTTTATACTTAATCTTTTATTATTTACTCTTAGAATTAAAGAGGTCAAAACAGAAAATAGGAGATTCTCCACAATTCTAACAATAATTTTTCTTCGTTGCGACTCAGGTGTTCCGTCAACGCACCCCAGAAGACGCCATAAACCTTGTGTCACGACTGCTGGAATACACACCATCTGCGCGCATCACGCCCCTACAGGCCTGCGCGCACAAATTCTTTGACGAACTCAGGGATCCAAACACCAGACTACCCAACAACCGGGAGTTGCCGCCCCTCTTCAATTTTACCGAACATGGTAATTATGGATGAGTTTGCGTTCTTTGGGTGCGCGCGATGGTTTTAGGGTACCGGTTATGCTGCCCGGTTCGTGTACTTTGAGGGGGCCGTTGTTTGTTTCGTTTCGGGTAAGTTGCCTGCAGATTACCATATGTGCATCTACTATGTAGGATTGTATAGAATACATCCAGTTCATGTACTTAGGGGGATAGTTTCTTGGGTAAATTTCAATGCAGTTTATTATGAAGGAGGATCTGTAATCTACTCCAAGAGCACTTCTTTTTTTATCAATAACTTTCATGCAGTAAGTTGGTCCAGAAGAATTGAAACTGATTGTATTATTCTGTAAAGATTGGACTGCTGGTGATAATGGTTGGGTATATGTTTTTTTATATATATAATTCCTATGAAGGAATAAGTGTTTTATGTCTTTTGGAATTATGAATTTTGTTTTTGTTATTGTTATTCTTTTTTTTTGTGGGGAGGGTGTGGGGGAATTATATATATATATATATATATATATATATATATATATATATATATATATATATATATATATATATATAAATTATATATATATATATATATATATATATATATATATATATATATATATATATATATATATATATATATATATATATATATATATATAATTTATATATATATATATATATATATATATATATATATATATATATATATATATATATATATATATATATATATATATATACTTTCTTTTCTAATAATTTTGTGTGTGCATGTGCATATACATTTATGCATATTTGTACATGCTATGAGAATGCACAAATATTGAAATTGCACAGTACCTACCTATTAATGTTAAACTTGTTTCCAAATTTTCAGAAATCAAGATCCAGCCAGAGCTGAACAACAAATTGATTCCTTCTCACTATCGAGGTGAGCCGGCAAACAGCAGCAGTGGTGGTGGCTCATCTGCCGTTGACTCTTCTGAGGGTGCTGCAGCTGCTGCTGTAAATGATAATTGAGATGGATGGTGGCCAGCCCAGTCAGCCTCTCCTGCAGCCTCCACACCAGCCTTCCTGCCCCCTTGTGCCTGCATCCAACAATATCTGGACCCAGCTGTGTACAGAGCTCCAGTTTTGGGATAAAGCTTGGCCAAGGGGGCTGTGGAGGCCAGTCTTCTTGGGCAGATAGCTGTACTTCATGTATGGCTGTAATCATGTGGCCCTCATAATGTGTAAAGTGTACATACATTGAACATTACTAGTGAATGACTCTCCCAGGCTTGAGGCACCCAGCAGCCACACCATTTGCTTGTTATTGCATACACTGTTGTGCCAGTGTGGCCCAGCCCAGGTGTCCTTGATCTGTTGGTAGGAGCTTGGTGCTGATGGTAACCTTCTGATTGCCCAGCCCACTGCATGGTGGTCATCGTGACCTCAGGGTCATGGAGCACCCAGCTCCTCGCACACCAGTGGAGCCAGCCTCTGATGCATTGTATTTGTCTTGGACTATCATAGTTAGGTCCATGATGTCTGCACCAAGTTTTGTAGGCCACTGTTGCATGGGAGTTTGTATGCTGTGATGAGGTGTATAGTATGACCAACAGCAATGTGCTCCCTCTTGATATTGTGCTGCCTCCCACCTCCCCTGCTGTCCCCTTGCCTTTTCACCTGCAGCAGCTAGTTCACCCCAAGCCAGTGCTAGTGATGAGTTGTGAGTTGTTGGTGTGTCACACTGAGTTAGTGCCAATGTTACTTGTAGTGTCACCTCCGTTGGCCCACCCTGGGCTCACTTTGTTCCTGCTCTTCTGCCAGGGACACCAGCTTCCCTTACAGCCTCAGTGTCTCTGGAATTGCAAAAAAAAAAAAATAAAAATAAAAAAAAAATATATATAAAAAAAAAATCAGCTAATTATGTAATAAGAGGCCAGCGTAGGCTTCACTGGCCCCTTAGACAGCACGTACACCACCACTATACCTTCACCGGTAGAAGGCGAGGACTCCTCTCGTCACTGTATCCTGTGATCTGAAGCCAGCGTGATGTGGATCCGTAACTCAGATCCATGTCTGTCATGGCAAGGGTTGTGCTGGCCATGGCAGAATAGGCTAGGACTGGACGACATGCTTGTATTGCTTGCATGGAAGTCATCACGATGAGGTATATCGCACACCCCCTCTGAACAAGCTGATGAACTTATGGGAATGGCAAGCAGCCTTTTGCTTGTCTTGTGTTTTAATGTTGGAATTATTATTCTGTATATAGTGTTCATTTTCACTTTTGCCATCACAAGTACAATTCATACATAGACAGTTCTTCAGGTGGTCTGTGCAGACAACCAGGTCCCTTGGCCATCTTGTAGTTCATCACAAACTATTTGAATGGGAGCTACTGTTCAACAAATCTTGTGTGATCCTCTGTACTCTTCAGTCGCTGGTGGAGCGGTGTCAGGTGTATTAATAGTTTTTCCCCCCTCACCCTTCCAATTAACCATAAAGTGTAAGTTATCAAACAGTAAGATATTACTAGTTACACCGATGGTTCTGCCCTGTGCCATCCAATCAGTGACACCTGCAAGGAAGGAATGCCATTCAGTGATTACCTGCTTTTCATGGGTGGAATACAGTGAGGTTCACTTTTGATATACAGACCTTTAGAGAAGAATGAGCCTTATTGCATTGCTGTCCCAAGCTTGTAATTACTATGTAAAGCATTTGCTCATGTCATTATTTTATTTTTTATTTTTGTTTTGTTGTTATTATTTTTTTCTTTTTTTTTCTTATATGATGTGATAACCTGAAAGTAGGGTGGTTGCTGTTGTTTTTTCTTCATTTACTTTCTTCTCTTCTGTATTCTGTTGTTTTTTCTTCATTTACTTTCTTCTCTTTCTGTATCTTTTTTTTTTTTTTTTTTTTTTTCTTTTTCTTTTTTTTCTTAGCATGGAAGATAACATAGTTTTGTATTAACTGATGATTGGTACAGCAATATCAAGTCCCAAGAGTTTATAAAACCCTTTGTCATGTAAGAAATTATCCATTATGTGGACTGTACCAGCAGTTTGAGCTTTAAACGATACATGAGGATCTTCTTTGTGTAAAGCAAATAGGAATAACAGCCTTATTTTAATTAAATCAAAAGTTCATTACATGATACAAGAAACCTCTCTGCAACCAGGGATCCCAAATATCCTAATTGGATTTCCTTTATCTCTGATACCGTAATTGGGAGGACTGGATCCAGGAGACGTGATTTGGAATAGGAAGTTGAATTTAACGTGGAAAGACTGATTTTTATTTAGGTATCTTTATTTTAGGGGGAGGGGGGGAATCACTGTCTAGTTACAAGTGGTACAAGAATAGAGGAATGCAAGGAAAATCTACCTTATTTTGAGCACTGTAAATATCACATGGGAATCGGAACTTTATTGGACACAAATTGGGTTCAAGTTTTTAACAAGAGTTCTTTTGAATATTTATTTACACCAAAATAGGTTTTGGATTCTTTTCTTTTTCTTTATTGATTTCTGTAAAATAATCTCCTGAATATGGTCCTTCCCTTGACAACTCAAAAGAAAAGAAAAGAAGAAAGGCTCGTCCAATCCATGTTGTAGGGCATTGAGACTTATTCAGAAAACATAAAAATTAATTTCAGAATGTTAGGGTCCTAGGGCAAGTGAAACAGGATGGGCTAATACATATATACATACATACATCTCATTGCCAAGTTTTTTCTGCTACTCATCCAGGGCACGAAATAATTTCCTTTCAAACCTTGTAGTAAAAAAAATGAAAAAGAACAAAAAAAAATAAAAATAAAAAAAAATAAAAGATATGATAAGTTCAGCATGAAAGAGCCTATTTGGGGTTTTCAGTGATTTTACATTCTATTTCACCCTATAAAATACAGTTTTTTCTTGGACTCCCCACGATAAGGCATGCTGAACAAGTCGGTATATACAGAACTGGGCGTTTCTGGGTATTGCTGCAAGAAAATCTCAATGTCATCTTTGATTTGTGGCTTGTTCACTCAATAGAATGAAACACAATTTGTGCAGAAGAAATATATATAGACTGCAACATTTAGTGATAGAGGTAGACACTATTGCTGGGAGGGGACATGTAAAGATCAGGTGTGTGTGTGATTGTGCAGTGGGTTGTCATAAAGGTATGATTATTGATGGAGAAAAAAAAAAAATATGATGTTTTACTCTATTGGGTGTTGGAAATTTGTTGTGCTAAGGATGTATAAAAGTTATGAAGTATTTACTAATCCCAAAGTTCCCCTTATGAATTTGTAAAGACTGTGCGAGGATACCAGGGTAAGTTTAGCTTATAATACCTCATGTACAGATTAAAAAAGTGAAGAGCAGCAAGGGTTTAGTTCATGATATTTGATGTATTGGTAGATAATGTTTATGCAGAACAGATCTGACAACCCAGGCACCACAATAAGGAGATGTTACCAGTTGACAGATGAGTTTTGCCGTTGATAGGTGACTTAATGGTTTTATTATTTGTTTACATGATAAGGAGTATATCAGTTGACCTGAGAGTTGAAGTGCTCAACTGTCTGTCAATGGTGTGACACTTGGCCGTGACACTGCTCAAGAGAACACGCTCTGAGAGGAAATCGTTATTATAGAAATTCATAGGAACTATTTTGTAAGTTTTCTGTCAAGTCTTTGAAGGTATCTATCTATCCATCCCCCCCTCCCCCCCAAGGTTAAGAATAGACATTGCTCAAGTTTCTCATGTTCGTGTATTTATTATTACTGCTGGGGAAGTTTGTAGAAGTTGTGGATTATTATTTTTTTATTTCCTTAATGATAGCCCATGCAACCCAAATTGTGTGCGCTTGCTGGTATTTAATGGTAAATTTTATATCTAGCAACCCAACAAAGGAGTCAATGCTCTTAGATGGAAATTTTTTCTTCTTCTTTTGTTGTATAAGCGGTTACGTTACTGAACCTGGTTAAGAAAAATAACAACCATACGCGTAGATCTTTGCCGGGAAAGGTCATTATCGGTGCATCTCGCCCCCAGTAACCCCTGTGCTGTAGTTGTTACCTATATTGATCAACCATGGAAGCGCTGTCTATGTGAGCAGCGTTACGGCCTACTTTTTGAGAGGGAATCCTATCCTGAGTCCACCACACCTTAGCCAATAATATTTGTAATTACCCTAATGTAAAAATGTACTCTAATGCTTAAAGTGTGCTTTTAAATTAATGTAGATGCAACTGTTCTTGTTCTTATGTTTTTCTTAATGAATGTACTTTTAAATGACAACATGTAGTACATGTACTAAGTTTATAGTATAATTGTTTTAATAAAGAGCAGTTGTATTACTGTCATTATTTGTATTTGTTTTATCATCACGCTGCAGCCTTTTATTCTTAATGGAAGGAGGAAATCGGAGTTTCAGTTGTCCCTCGTTTCCTAGGTTGCGCCTAGCTCTTCTTGTCTCCAGAGAGCGGCCGCATTCTGACCCCTTTTCCTTTTCTATGATATAATCTCCTTAGAAGTTTACCCAGAGAGACCCTAGGGACTTTGAGATTCTAGCAACGGGGATGGTGTTACAGGGAAATGGGACAGATATTTATTTGTGTGTTTGCTTCAGGTGTGAGATGACAAGCAGTGGAATATAGGGTTTAGTTATGTCCACATCAATGTATAGCCATCGCAGTGTAGAAAGAAACTATTATCAAGTTTCCAATACTTGTCACTAGATTATATGATTAAAGTAAACTTTTATCCAAGATGGGACGTGGTGGCATTTATTCACAATCCCCAAAAGCAGTACAAAGGCTCATGTGGAGTCTTTCCTTAAAAATAAAGAAACAAACAGATAAATAGACCTGCAGATATTCAAAGCAAAAATAAGGGAAATTCCTTCTGTTCTCTGAAAATATCTTTGGTACAGTTTGAGTACATAAAACTTTTGACTACAATTTGAAAATGTATTATCTGCCAAAGTCTTTCTAATATGATGATTATATAGATCATGCTTGGCATCATGTATTTGTGCGTATGGAAGGAAAAAGACAATTAACATGGAAAAAAAAGCAAGATGCGTATGTTGCATATTGTTGAAAAATGTTGATCTAAATACACAAATATATGAACAGCTTTAGTGGCACAATACTAATCACTACACAATATCGAAAAAGATTCTTTTCTCAAGATATGTTGATGTATATATATTATATATACTATATACTATATATATTATATATTTATATTATATATATACATATATACATATATATAGATACATATATATATAGATAGATATATATAGATAGATATATATATATAATCTATATATATATAGTATATACACATATATATATATAGTTATATATATATATAGTCTATATATATATATAATTATATATATATATACTATATACATATATACATATATATACATATACATATACATATACATATATATACATATATCTATATATATAATATACATATATATACATATATCTATATATATGTATATAGATATATATGTATATATACTATATAGATATATATATAGATATATTTATATATATTATTTATTTATATATATATGTATAAGTATATATATATATTTTATATATATATATTTTATTTATATATTTATATTATATATATGTATATACTATATACACATATATGTATATATACATATATATACATATATAATATATATACTATATATTATATATATTATATTATATATATTTATACATATATATTTATATATTTATATTATATATATTATCTATATATATATACTATAGATATATATATGTATAAGTATATATATATATACACACACACACACACACACACATATATATATATACATATATGTATATATACATATATATACATATATATAATATAT